CAGGCAAAACAAATAACAAATTTATTACTTCTCAGTATTATTACACTATAATTTCTATCCAGTTCAAAGAGAGAGCGACGAATTATTGTTGTACGGCTTGGTCGCTCGTTATGGTCCGCAATCAGTTGCCAGCGCAACGTGGTTAAACAGCTAAATGCTATTCATTGCTATTCAAAGCAATTGTCAACTAACGAAAATAATCAACAATTCACTTTCATTCCAGTTTCTTCCCCGAATCAAAAACCGATTCGATCTATTCTCAGATATATTTCGTAGATAACTCGTCGTCCGCCATTTCGAGACGCGTTACAACGGCCGTTACCAAGAGGAAAGATAAACAAGCGAACCCTTAATCAAGCTACTGCAAATTCTTTCGCGAAACGGATTCCTGTACGCAAGGATCAACGCGGCGAAAGGGGGGCAGGCCGCAGCAATTAGGGTGGCATACGGAGCGTATTACCAACATAATCAAATCACATGGTCCCTTGCAGCTCCGTTATGCCCGTTGACAGGCTACAAAAAAGGGGGATGGCCACCCTCTCGAGCCGGATAGTGACGGATCCTGGAGCGGCCTCTGCCTATTGGCCTTGTACGCTGGGTTGATTCATCTGTTTGCTTTTTATTATCTCGCCGACCACCGGAAAGTACCAGCTATCTGGCCGAGGGGTGGCGTTAATCAATTGATGGGATCAGGCCACGGTGATGACGAACACGCGCGCACAAACGACGTGATCGTGCATCGATTTTCGATCGACCGGAACGGATTATCGAGCAGAAACGATTCGTCTCCCGGTATCAAGTATTTTTTTACATTTGCATTTCATAGTTTTCTCTATTTTCTGTCTGACGGCTTCGCCCGGCTAAGCGCTCTCGCTGTTACAACGGCAGACTTGAAAATTGATGAATATTTCTTTTTGCAGTGCAAAAATGCAGATTCCAATGTAATGTTTTGTTTAAGTTTTGATAAACAAGCATTGAGTAAATGTATTGATATTTACTTGGAAAAACTATGAAAAAGTGATAAAAGATATATCGGTTTCGTTAATACATTGCTTAAACAAATGTTTAAACTGTTAAATTCGTCGTTAACAAAATACTAATTTCATCAATTGACATGAAAACTGTATGTTTAGTAATTTCCGAGGTAACTGACAAAATATATTTCGGATTCCCAACTTTAAGGGTGGTTTTCATCCGTTCGATTGCCGATAAGGAGAAAATACGTGTCAAATATTTTTTCAAAAATTACATTTATGCTGAATTTCCTCAAAATCGGCGATTGATACTTGGATATATTCTCTTGTAAGTAGTAAATTCATTTCTGCCATTAAATATTGTAACAGATGCAGATATCTCGTACATTTTCACCATCTACGTGTCGTATTTTTCCTTTAAACGCATAAAGATTCGTAGTTTAATAATTAATAATTTTGCTGCTAATTAATAATTTATCACTTCAACCTTTCACTATTAAGTAGCCGAGTAATTAATAATTTATTATTTTGACTTTTATTTATTACTCCAACCTTTCGTTATCAAGTAATTAATTAATAGTTTATTAGTTCAAACTTTCGTTGCTGTATAATTGAGTAATTAATAATTCACTGTTTCAATCAGAATGGAGAGAATTGTGAATCGAAATTTTTTTTTAATTTAAATGAAACTTGCAGTCCGACTTTGGAAATAAGAAAGAGTTTCATCAACCCAATGAGGATTAAATTATGGTTTACCTAGATTAACTAAACTGTGGATTTTTACACATTTATAGAAAATTTAAAAGTGTAAAATTACACTTGAACGAATATACATAAATAAAAACATAATGTAACATCTTTTGTATCTATTTGACGAAGCAGCAAGTAAACACAAAATAAAATTTTCAAAATACGGACACGTAGAATAGGTAGAAAAAAAAAAACTCGAACTTTCCAACTATCTTTCTCAATTACAGCAACGAAACTCCGAAACGCTCGAAAATCAAAATTTCCTACCACTCTCGATCGTCGATCAGACACCCAAGAAATGAAACAAAGCCTGCACTGTAATCAGAAATCAATTTTTACCGATGCACCGGTGTGAAGATAACACTCGTTTACCTCTCTAAACTTCGAGAACAACACCACCTTTTAATCCAAAAAAAAAAAAAAAAAAAAAAAAACTTTGAATTTCCTTTTCTAAGCGTCTACACACGCGCGCAGTGTGAATTTCTCGTACCTTTCTCGCGCTGGTGTCGAAGCGTGGCACGAAGCGCGGTTCACCGCACGACTTTCAACGTGGCTTGCTCCGCGAGCACTGTTTTCGAAGACGCCTCGATAGGCAGAGGGTTGCGCGGCTTTCACCCCCATCGCGGCTCGTGACGTCGTAACGCGAACGTGGTGTCCATGTGGTGTCCTAGGCAACCCGGCATTCGTGTATATCCATCCTGCCCTCCTTTTCTCACCACTTTTGCCCTCTCTCTCTTTCTCTCTCTCTCTCTGTCCCTCCCTCCCTTTTTCTCTTCGTCACGCTTCTAACCATCTTTCATCCCCATCGCGGCGACGTCTGTATCTTTTATTTTTCGTTCGTTCCGTGTGCTTCGCGAGGACGTCTTAACCTTATCGAGGATCGTGTGGTAGTTTGTCACAATGCTGTTAGATTTCATAGGATTTCATTAAAATGAATGCGGAAAGAATAGCGTTCATCAAGTGAATGTCTATTTGCAATTTCATCCGCTTAAGTCAGGATAATTACCCGTTATTGGGCTGGATTTGTAAAAGTGCGAGTTTGCACTTCAACATTTTAAAATTCAACGACAGAGAAAAGAAGAAGAAGAAGAAAAAAAGAAATATTGAAGTTCTTTAGTTCGCAAGAAAAATTTTACGTTCGCAACATTGGTCCTTAACGATTACTAACGATTAGTTTTCTCTGTTTCTTCCAATCTTTCTGAATTTTTCACACGCATTTATTTTCATTCGACTCGACTCGCAGCACGTTCTTTTCAGTTTCTCTCGCCATACTCGTTGTCTGATCTCTGTCCCTCGGATTTTAAGGTTCGAGTTCTCTTCCTTTTTTGACGGATTTTTATGCCTTTCTCTTTTCTTTTTTCAAACAGCTTTCCCGAGGCAAAGCACGCGAGATCGCGTGGCCACGCGTCTGCGTCATTGCTGCAATCCATTCGAACACGCGCGCGCGCGCGCGCCAGATAGAGAAATCGATCCAGTCACCTGCCTTCGCACCCCTCGCGTGCGATTACGTCCCCTTTATCGTGGATGAGTCGCGGTCCTACACTGATCCATCCATCCCCTCCGGAATATTCCAGGAATTTTTATGAGGTAAACGCACGTTCACCATCGCCATTTCATCGACTGCTAGCTGTATTTGTTTAATTTCGACCGTGATTTAATAATCCGCGTCATGGACAAATCATTTGAAATGATACGACGATTTTATTTACTCGTTTTGTCTTTCATTTCCTGGAACATTCTAAGAACACCGATCGAAATCGTCGTCCTTCCTGTGATTGGTCTTTTTTCAAGCATGTTATTTTCTATGTGGAAAGGTAATTCTTTCCTCTCTGTGATAAGAATGAACCTTCTTACTTCCTAATAATTCAGAGTTTCTATGTTTAATCCTTTCTGTATCGTAAGGAAATAATTCACCCTCCCCCTTTTTACAGATTTTTAACATTTTCGCTATGAAAAAATAAAAATTCCACTTCCTTCTCTTTAATAATTCTTCCAAATTGTTGAATTAAAATTCTACACCCTTTTCAAAATAATTCATTCCCCTTTTTACAGTTTTTTTTTTTAATCTCTAGCAATTATTTCCGCAATTGAGAAACAAATGTACTTTATTTTTATCCCCCTGTGTCGAGATTAATATTCCCAGAAGTTTCCACGTAAACGACGTCACGATCGCAGAATAAAAATTCTTACTTCCTAATAATTCAGAGTTTCTATGTTTAATCTTTCTGTATTCTAAGGAAATAATTCACTCCCCCTTTTTACAGATTTCTAACCACAACATGTCGCTATGAAAAAATAAAAATTCCACTTCCTTCTTTCATTCTTCAATAACTCTTCCAAATTCTACACCCTTTCAAAAATAATTCATCCCCCTTTTTACAGTTTTTCTTTTTAATCTCTCCTAATTCTTTCCGCAATTAAGAAACAAATATACTTTGCTTTTATCCCCCTGTGTTGAGATTAATATTCCCAGAAGTTTCCACGTAAACGACGTCACGATCGCAGAATAAAAATTCTTACTTCCTAATAATTCAGAGTTTCTATGTTTAATCTTTCTCTATTCTAAGAAAATAATTCACTCCCCCTTTTTACAGACTTCTAACCACAACATGTCGCTATGAAAAAATAAAAATTCCACTTCTTTCTCTTCAATAACTCTTCCAAATTATTGAATTAAAATTCTACACCCTTTTAAAAATAATTCATCCCTCTTTTTACAGTTTTTCTTTTTAATCTCTCCTAATTCTTTCCGCAATTGAGAAACAAATATACTTTGCTTTTATCCCCCCTGCGTCGAGATTAATATTCCCAGAAGTTTCCACGTAAACAACGTCACGATCGCAGAATAAAAATTCTTACTTCCTAATAATTCAGAATTTCTATATTTAATCTTTCTCTATCGTAAGGAAATAATTCACTCCCCCTTTTTACAGATTTCTAACCACAACATGTCGCTATGAAAAAATAAAAATTCCACTTCCTTCTTTCACTCTTCAATAACTCTTCCAAATTCTACACCCTTTTAAAAATAATTCATCTCCCTTTTTACAGTTTTTCTTTTTAATCGCTCCTAATTCTTTCCGCAATTGAGAAACAAATATATTTTGCTTTTATCCCCCCTGTGTCGAGATTAATATTCCCAGAAGTTTCCACGTAAACGACGACGTCACGACGATCGTTGTGACACCGGCGACGGATCGAGTAATCGCTACGCCGGGCGAGATCGATCGATCGCAGCGGCTGCTCGAGATAGCCACGTATATATTTAAAGACCGGCTTCCGGTGTCGTCGTAGACTGTATTTCGATTAACGAGGCACACATCCGCGCGCAAAGTGCACGTATTCCGGAGAATGACTTCACTCGCTTGCAGGTGTGCATTGTATTTAGATGATATCGATTGCGGGTCGCACGTCATAGGTCGGCCTAGAATCGACCCCTCGTGACACAGTTACACTCTGGTTACACGGTGCTCTGGCACGAAAGTCATCACGAAATCCGTGGTATTACTATCCTCGACAGCTGAGTTGCAAATGGCTAAAGAACCATCTTTCTTTTTCAGACTTTTTGTCGCCTTTTTCCTTTCTCTAGCTCAGATTCGAAAGAAGACCGATTCCATTCGTCTCTGTATAAAGTGAAAAGTTTTACGAGGTTCGTGCGATATTTATTCGTGCATTTTATGTACATAAGTATTATTACGTGTATTATGCAGAGCACTTTGGAATTTCGTTAATGTTGCAATGACTGACGCGATTGCTTAAACTAATTTGAGAGCGACGAATTGAACGATATTCGCTGTGAACGTATGTTTGCTGAAAACCAGTGTACGTGAGTGAATAGTCAGTGTTGATGATTTGTTTGTTTCAAATCTGACCAATATAATTGTGATCGTTTTACTAGAGTGTTAATGAAATGTCAGAATGTATGATATATTTCTAAAGTAATATAACATTCAGAATTTTTCATTTTATTTCATTAATCTTTTTTTTTTAACGATCGTAATTACGAAGATTAATTCAATATTTTTGTTTATTCGAGTGAAATTACAACGAAAAATTACTTATTTAGAACCTATTACGTTCCAAAGATACATGTTCTTTGAAAATAATCGAACGACGAAAGTTAAACGTGTTATTGCAAAAGAATGTTTTTGAAATCAAAAAGATTTCGAAAATATCGAAGAGACACGCGTGTAACTACCAAAAACCAAATAAAAAGACATTTTCAATAATACGAATTTTAAAAGTGTTCCTTAAAAGTAAAAGATATGGCCTGTCTATAGTTCTTTCCTATAATCTTCATATTGTATGAATCATACACGTGATTTAAGCGGAATAAAAAATTTATTTCAAAGAACTCGAAGAAGCATGATGTCCAGCTACAAAATTATGTAACAATAAAATTGCAATTAAATTTTACAATTAAATTTTACAATTAAATTTTACAACTACTTCTCCGTAAAGAGTAAGTATAATTTTTTTTGCATTTTTTTATATACTCCCTAAAATAAGAAAAAAAGAAAATCGTTGGCTACAAAGTAAAATCGTTGCAACGAGACAGAGTTGGCATGTCGAAAATTTCGGCGCGGACCATCTGTCGCGATATTATCTTATCGATGAAAATTTTGTAATACTTTGGAAAACGAAGTGAACGATAAGAGGCAAATATAGCGCACACGAGCTTCGCTGGTAATCTCTTAAAGATAATTGCAGCTCATTGGATCAAGAATAACGACATTACGGAATAATTGTCAAACCTCATGCGATCGGGGCTTACGTGACCGCGAGGAAGCTACTTGCATAACGAGTCTTCGGGCGGTTTTCCGTCAATTCACGATGACATAACTCTCTCCGTTTGACGAGCATATCGGGTACTGTTTCACGTTGGTCACAACGAGCGTGGACCTCGATTCGATTGAAGTTACGACGTGGTTTCTTTGAAAAATGGAAACCGTATTTCTCTGAGTCGACGGCAACGCGAATTTTTAATTAATTTGCAAACGCAAACGGCTGCCGATTCGCGGACAATGATCGATCGAGAAGGAACGAAATTTGTTCGTTTAAGCAAGTTCGAAAGTTCGACGTATGTCGATATTCGAAACACTTGAAGTATATTTTACAAACTCTAAAAGCGGAGAAATGATTGTGAATTATGCATCTATCGATAGATCCAGTATGATCCTGATTACATTACACTATGCTCAATTTCTCAAATTTCCCGATAATCAAAGCATATTTTATAGCATTCTGCACACGTACGTTTCACTAACTTACAAATGACTATTACAAACGAAATAATATACCGAAACGTAGACATTTTCAAATTACCAAATGCAATTCTTTTATGTAGAATGATCCCAAAAATAAACGTGAAAACTAGAATTAAAAAAAAGTATTCTTCAATTTAATATATTAAAATTAAAAAAAAGATAAAATTATAATTAAATAAATTAAATTTCTTAAAATAATAAAATCAAATAAATAAACTATTATTATTAAACAAATTATATAAATTAATTCAATCATTTTTAAAATGTTAAATTTAAAAATTTTATTTTTTGATGACCAAATTCATAATTTATACTAATTAATAATAATAATCCTAAAATTCTTTCACATACTATAAATATTAAAAATATAAAAAATAATCATAATCTATATATATATATATATATAAAATAAAAATTATATGTAAAAATTCTATTGTAATTAAAAATCGTAAATAATAATAACTTTTAATAAATATAATTTTTACGTGAATAATCTGCGTATAATACTCATGTTGAATTCTAAACACGTGTTTTACTGTAAATGACTAAATGTTAATTAGGAGTGAAATTGTACAATAAAAAATTAACGTCGATCATCATATTATCGAACACAAAATATTAAACTAAAGAAACGAATACAAATGATCCACGTGTAATTATTGAAAAGAATTAAATTCAATTTTAGTGAGAGGAGAATTCTTCAATAACCTACACTTCTTTAACTACAAGTCTACATTAGAATATTGGTGGGAAGTGTACCTCACACACAAAATAATTCCAACAAACAAGGAAATCACGTATCCGCGAGTTAAACTCGGTTAAGTTCGATCGTATCTTTCGGATTTTCCCGGGAATCGAGCTGAGGGGATGAAAAGATGAGAGGGCGCCGCTCGGGCAAACAGGTCGATACGACATGCGCGCTCATTCTCCATCGACGACTCTGCTGGAATGGACCCGTGCTGATTCTGCAGTTGTAAAACGCATCACGTCAAGAGAAGTCTCGTGTTCTGTGTCGTCTGTTCGAGACACGATGACCGGAATAAATGACGAATAAATTAGCGAGCGAGGTAAAAAGATGCGGAGGCTCGATCGTGATGTAACGTGAAATTTGTGTTGTTTCGGTTACCGGTGTCTCTTTCTTTGCGATCTCGGCGATTCAAGTTGAACAGAGCGCAAGAGGAGTAAGAAATTACACAAAATGGGGACTAGATTCGCAGCGTGTGAGTACGAGATTAAAGTAATACAACCTTCCATGTATTTGTCACCGGAGAATTTGGATCTCCACGCGAATTTATAGTTCTGAAAGTATAATTAAGAAAGAGAACCACGGTGGTAAATTATTTTCCGCACCAAGTATCACGGAGAGCATTGTATTTCGAATATTTTGCATGTTACGCGCAATATTGCGTAATTTTTTTCACTTTGAAATTTTCTGGAAAAGTTTGTAAAAGTTCGAAGTCTGTTTATTATGATTTATGTCAAATTTTATTAGAATAGATTAGACTAGGTCTACACACGTGTTTCGTTTAACTCCTAACTGGTATATCGTCGAATTACATTGGTCGCAGTAACAATTTAAATTTCTCATTCGCTCAATTTTGAAATTTTATAACTAGTCAGAGAGAATGTAAAATACAAAGTAAAATTTTAGTGATCTAACATAAGTTACTATAATCCAATGATACTGTTTCACAGTTAATTCACAGCGAATGACTTACAAATGGATGTACAAATATCTTTTCAGACTCGTTAAAATTGACTAGCCTCCACGATTACTATCAGAGACTTCTCCACGGAAGTCAACCTGTACCTTCCGGCCTTGACATGGCAAACACACTCAAGTTCTTCTCTCAAATGCTGCTGTGTAAGTATCTCGGTACCATTTCATCCATAACTTTTCTTTTGGTATTATCATTAATTTATACCTGATTTCGCAGCTCTGTTGAAAGAGGTTCACGAATCGCCACTCGAAATGGTGAAATCACAAAAGTACGACGCGGAGCGCATGGCGCTTTACCCGAACTTGGATTACAAACAGCTGTACAACGCCCTCACTCAGCTGATCGACGTTGTTTCCTCCATTCACATCGGTCTACAAGGTTTGCTCTATATTTTTCGATTTCAGCATTTACACCGAGCAAAATTTTCACCAAAAACTATCGTTATATAAATTTTGTATTGTACGATATGTATCGTGTGTATTCTAGTATTTTGATTTATTTTTATTTTTTATTTATACACACATGGAATGCAATGTTGCTCGCAACATGTTGAACGAATTCGTGTTTCGTTGATTTACATTCCAGCGTTTGGCCAAGCATTGCTACAATGTCTCGCGTGTCTGTTGCCATTTCTGGATCACGATCTGATCGACAACGTGGCCTACCTCACGGCCAGCTCCATTTCGGTGCTTCCAATGGAACTTCATCAAGATATCGTCAACTATCTTTGTTACTACATTCTGCCATTCACCATCAGTAAGTGTTTCGTTATTAAACTATTTTGACACGTGGTGGACGAAAAATATAGACCGCGATGATATTAAATGCAAATGTAGTGAGCGTAGCCATTGTGACATTTCGGTGTCGTAATAATTTATAATATTAATTACCGTGGTACTTTGTAAATATTGTAGTGCATATTTTACGAGCAGTCAAAAATAAAAAAAACGTGTTTCCTGGCGACAACTTATTAATTAAAATTTGTATGAAATGTGTTCAGCAAGGAAGACCGAGGATGGAACGGAAAACGCAGCCAGCCAATCGATAGCAGCCGTTATCATGATGATCTTTCAATATTCCAGTAACCCAGGTTATAATTTTGATTTTCGTATTTTATTCGAAATGTATTTTTATTATTTTGTAGTTGCAGTGGTTATTAATTCTATGATTATAAGATAATAAAAAAATATGGTATCGATAACAACAACATTAACATGATATTAAATCTACTAATAATTATCATATTAAAATCAATAATTAATTTACTATAATAAATAATATTTAATATTATGTATATAAATTATTTTATTATATTTATTATCTTTATTTTAATATTATATATAAATTATTTTATTTTGTACAGTATCACTACCATATCAATTTTATTATTTTATAACAACATCAACGACAGTGAAAATTGTCTAAACGTTCAGCACACCATTGCCAACTACTGGAGTGTCTAATGGCACTGAAACCAGGCGTTGTCAAGGACATTCTCTGCGTGGTTGCTTATGGCACAGCTCCTGCAAGAGCCTCAGCAGCGAAATTGTTATTCTACTACTGGCCATCGTTCAATCCGAACCTCTTCGATCGCAGAGCGGTTTTAGTAAAATTCGCAAGTACGTCTTTCACGGTATCTAGCTATATCCAAAACCTCATACACGAATGAAATCGAAGATATCGAGTTTCGTTGAAATCATCAACAGATGATCTGGCACCGTTCGTTTGTCAAAGAGATTCCTGTCCGAACGCGGGCAACGCCGAAGCTGGCAAAGTGTGTTACGATCATCGGATATCCATCACGTTCGCTACCGAGACACCGCCACCCATGTATCTCTGCATCGAGTGCGCGAACGAGATACACAGGGCGCATCCGAATCAACTGTTCTACGACATCTTGCACCCCATGCAACAGGTGTCGATGATATGCGAAAACAAGGTGAGTCATTAATTGACGATCAACTTTGAACAAATGTACTGCTGCATGCCGAAGAGTTTTTATTAGTGTTTTCTTTATTATTGCATATTTTCTGCAAATATTATTCAACATTTAAGTGAGTGTTGAATGAATGATATGAAATGATCTTTTCTGTACGTCGGTAATTAAAATCTCAGAGGATAATTGGCATCATGTAATTTTGGAATTATGTGCTCATATGTCTGAAAAATATTATATATAATAGATAATATAATAATATAATATATATAATATTGTATATAATAATATAATATATATAATATTATATATATTTTGAAAAATATTTATTGTATCTACATTTCATCGATACGCGATTACAAAGATATGATCATATGATTTATGTAAGTGAACAAAATTGCAATTATATAAAGTCGAAATTGAATGTCGTTCGATAGTACATATATATTGACATAACTCGGTTTGTATCTTTTTCTGTTAGAAGAGGAAACCTTGTAATAAATTGTAGCTTGCCTCTACAATTATATAGAATCTGAGTTGTAACAATTGTCATAAATAATTCATCTCGTATTTTTCGAATTGATAAAGCAGTGAGTATAAAAGATTTCTAAAATGTAGATGCCTGAATGTACAAGTGCAGTAATTCCCAAATGACAGGACAGTTGTAGAAAATCAACAGGAAAATACCCAATCCTTTAACGTTGTACATAATCTTGTAACAATTTCAATCTATATAATAGATATTAGACCCAAAATTGCTACAAATTCACTGCTTTAAACCACCTCAGAATTGCAAGGCCACGGACAAGTCGGCGATCAGTGTTTGTTTCTCCACCGAGTGCGCCAGTTACAACGGGAACCATCCGATTCGTTATTGCCAGAAGTGCCACAACAATCGACACGACAAAGGTCGGGGCGAGGACCACGTGTATCACACAGCGTTGCCGCACATATCGAAGATGGATCCACAGACGCAGGCCTACATGGTCCAGGCGATTGTCAGGTGAGATGCTCTTACTTCCAACATTCTCGTTCCCTATCTGCTGAAATATCCTGTATCGCTTAACGTTCGAAAGTTATCGGGACAGGGATGGGGGCTATGGTTGGGACAAGGGACACTAACAGTCGTTGTAATTTGCACGAGTTTAATTGGGACGCTGTCGCGACTAGGGAGAAGAGACTCGACTTGTCAGTATTCGAAATTTTCGACACGACAGTTTCGTATGGACCACTCTCAACTGGTATCGCTGAATTCTAGAAATCTAGAATTAGGTATTAACTCGTCGTGGACCAATTAATTTTGTAAGGATTCTTGGAGGGAATGATTTTTTTGTAAAATTATAGTGGGCCAGGGAAATATTCGAATCCATAGATTGCGCGCGTCATGTATGAAAGTTATGTTTGAAATTTCATTTTGATGGTGAATTTTGGAACCGAAAGATGTATGTACGAGTTGTAAGATGTTTATTCGAAACATATATCTAATGAATAATTAATATATAGTATGTAAAGTTATCTGAAGCGTACAGTTGTGTATTGTAACTCTATTATATTATATTAGCCTAAGCAAAAGTGTCAAATGAAGGATTAATTAATATAATGGATAATTTATTATCCATATTTTATCCATAATTATACATATATATATGTATCATTAAATAATTTATTATAAATAATTATGTATATAGAAATTACTAATTTCTAACATAAGTGTACATTTCAAAATTATCACAGTAATATATATATTACTCAATATCGCTAACATCGTACAAAGTTTGAATACTTTCACAAACAATTGTATATAACAAATCTATTTTATATTCTTTAGTCTACCGTAAATTTTTCCCTTTATTCTTTGCATTTTAATCTGTCTGACGTAAGTTCCACCCTTTAATGTTTCTCTAACAGTTCTACTGTCAAATTATAAATTAATTTCGTCGAATCGTCAAAAATATCAAACGTGCTGAATTTTGATAACTATATAAATGTAAATTTCAACAATCACCTACAAACGATACCATTTGAGAATCAATTGAAGATGAATAAAAACTCGAAGCGTCTCATTGTCGTTCGGTCTTTTAGAATTCTCATTCAAATGCCAGAGTCTCTTGTCTCTAACGTATCGTCGATGTCGAAGCCTCTTTCTGCGACAGAAAGTGTTCTTTTGACGACGTGGACGTATGCGACGCACGTTGATACAGTTCGATTGGTTCTATCCGTGTTTACCAACCCACAGATCGCGACCATCGTCGTACTTTTAATCCGCTCGTTTAATAATACACACGCGTGACTCAAGTTTTTCTCGGAAAGGAAAAAGAGAGAGAGAGAAAAAAAAGAAAGCAAATAAATTCACTATTGCAACCCTTAAAATGGCATCGTTGAGTCACAGACGACCATAACAATTTACATTACATTACCAACAACAAAGCTCATGGTGTTTCATCCTCTCGTATTGCCATGTTGCCATGATATAAAATCGAATTAAAGGAATCCCAGTAAATCGAGTAATCTAATGTTAAATTGTTAGTCTGGCCAGTGGCTCAACAATATCAGTTTAAGGTGAAAGATGAAGAGTTCACTTCGCCGTTTCGTCGTTCGCTGAATAAAGAAGTGAAAAATAAACAAAGAAATTAAATAATTAACGGGCTTATCAGTTAATGACTTATTTAACGACAACAGGTCGCATCCAAGCGATGGTTGTTAATCACTTATCCACGATGTTCGATCATCGTAATGTGTTCGACAGTATTGTGACAACACGATGACGCGTACTAACGAATGATCGCAGGATCATTGTTGCTTTGCGTGTTTGTTCGTGCTGGTCCATCCTGCTTGGTAAGACATTATGCTGTAACCACGTTCAATGGGAAAACTGAACTCAAAAAATCACCTGTATCCTGCTTAGACTCGAAGCAGAACGTCGTGTTTTTCTTCCTCGCATTGAATTGTTGGGCGTTCGAGGTCGCAGTGGCTCCCGTTCAACGTGGTTGATCGATGCTCCATATTATTGTTTTTGAATATTCACAGAAACGGACGAGATGTCGCATGCCACCCTGTTCAAATCGGGACCGTACCTTCCGCCTTTCTTTTTATTATATTCGATAGCTGTTCCGCGTACATCTCGATCCGTCATTGACGCTCGACGTCTCACCGACTTCGAAAGTCTCTCTCTGTGCGTTTATCGAGGATCGACAGATATTTTCTATACAACCGGAAACTGAGGCGAGGAAGTTCAATTTCGAAAATTTCGAAGGAAAAAGGAAAAAACGATAGAAAAAGGAATTAGGATTCGATGAATCCAAGCTTCGATGGAACTCTCGTCGACTGAAAGCACTTTCGATGTATAATGTGTTATCGTAAATAAAATTGTTATCGTGTTTATATAATATCGTTATCGTATTGTGAGTAACGATCATGATATGTGTCAAGGTATCTAATCTTTCTCGATATATGATTTAAAAAATTTCCACTAAAATTGTCTTTGAGAACCATAGAGGAGAGTCACGCAGCGGTATTGGCCAATATTTATGTCTTTTGCTAATTAGAAAAATAGTTTTTCTCCTTCTTAATCAATCCATAACACGCGAAGTTTATAGATACATTTTGCCTATGAACATTTAATATTTAAATATAGTAGAATATTTAATATTTCTTAAACATTAAGTTGCGATAAAAGTCACCTAATTATTTAAAATCTTTTGACCAACAATATTCATTTGATCACGAGATGCTTTACTTATAAGACGTTTAAAAAGAATGAACATGTTACAATATAGTGAATGTGTCAAAAGCACATTTATCGCATGCTCTTCGTTCAGTACTAAACTTCTAGATTTTTGGCCACTTTAACGAATACTAGGGTTGTTCATTCCAAACACATACAAGACCAAGAAATAATTTCTCACAGAATTACGAGTCAATTTTCTTTAAATTATAAATATAATTATAATAAAATTGTAAGAGAATCACAGAATCTTGTTAATTTTGATATCGACGTCAATATTAATAATACTATAAATTAATGTAATATATAGTATTATTAATATTATTAGTATTAATAATTATAACATTATATATGACATAGTATTAGTAATATTATAACATTATATTATTATATTATTATAACATTATATTATTAATATCATAGTAGTATTAATAATATTAATAATACTATAAATTAATGTAATATATAGTATTATTAATATTATTAGTATTAATAATTATAATATTATATGCAACATAGTATTAATAATTAATATTATAACATTATATTATTAATATCATACTAGTATTAATAACATTAATAATACTATAAATTAACGTAACTGTTATACCGAGGATAGTCCAAGTTACGGTAAGAAAAAATCCGAGACGGGGTCAGTACCGCGCGATTCTCCCTTATATGCCAACTTGTGATAAGACATACGCGAGTTGGTCAGTCAGGAAACGTTCAGTGGAAAGTAGGGCACCTCGGGGTCGCCTCGAAAATCGTTTGAGCGACGTTCGAAGCCGGATGGCGGCTAGCGCGGACAAGTTTTTCTCTCCGAGTTGTCCACAAAAAGCGAGAGAGAGAGAGAGAGAGATACGAGCGTGACTCCGAAGCATTCAGCCTCACAGTAGAGAGCATAGGAAAAGTGCACCTTAAAAGTTGCAATGCGAGGACACCACAGCCAGTATCGCATCCTGGGTACCGACGCACCACAGGCTTGGTACCGTTTCCACACAAATAAAAAACGGACCCACTCTGGTGCAGGCTTGAATAGATACCCATTAACCGAGACACACTGGTATGCTGCACGAACAGAAAACACTACTTTACTACGGGACATTAATTCAATTTGGGAATCTCACTTCTTTTTTTTCCTTCCCCGTTCTTTCTTCGATCGTTATTTTCATCAACTACTGGCGAAAGTTCGTACGGCATTTTGTCAGTAACTGAATTACAGTAGCGTGTACACGTGTCTGATTTTCAATTATTTCCTGAAACTTGTATGTCAATATATTAGTACACGTTGAACAGAAATATTGTCTGTGCGCTGTGTGGAAAATGTTCTGTAGATCTCAAGTTGAACTCGCTGCTTCTCTTTGGAAATTCAAGATGGTCCAATTAATTATTGTCATTGATAAATGAAACGATGATTTATATTTCATACACAAATCGGACAGCGAAAAATTTCTATTTTCGTATTTTTCACGAGTCTAGATAATATAGGGAATGCAGCGTGAGAAGAAGATTCAAACCTAGGAAAAGGCAGCGGAAATATTCCAATAACGTGACGACAAGAATATTGGAACGTCAGTACTTTTGTTTGACAAAGAGGATCTCGTACGAATTTTTCCCAGTATCCGATAAAATAGAATCACGACTCTGTGAAAGATCAAATTTCTTTATAAATTTGTTTCTCTTCTAATTTTTTTCCAACCTTTCTTTCTTCCTTTTCTTCTGTTCTTCCTTTGGTGTTTGGAATTCTACTTCTCGAGTATCGACACACCAACTACTGCATGTTGTTTTTGAACATAATGAAACTAGCATGAATCACCGTGTAGCTAGAATCACAGAACTGAACAGTGAATTATTATATTTGTTGTCACGTGAAATAGAAAGTTCTTTCGAGATTTCTCTCAACCTGATCTGATTGTCTATATAACTGGATATAATTTCGCGCAGCGGGCGCGATCCGAGGTCGCGTCTGATCGATCATCAGTTGTGGTCGACGTAGATCAATCGGATTTCTCTTGATCTCGAATGTTTTTCAAAGACATGGCTGAACAGTGGATCGACATTGTCACTGTTCGAATACAAATTTTCGCGAACTGTTTTCACGATCGATATCGTCGATCACAAAATACAACGGAGGGCAAAAGAAAGATTGAAATTGGCACTTGTCTAGTTAACTATTATTATTAATTACTAAGTGGATATTTCTTTTATCGACATTCTATTGGAAGATGTTACTCTTAGATATGTTCCATTTTAGAAAATTCTAAATAATCTCGTGCTCATTTGCTTTTTAAAACTTTCTTCTGTCCTCTGTAAAATACAAGTGAAATGAAGATGGATCGTGAGAAAGTTCAAACTATACCATTGAACGTGGAAGCCTCGATTCTTCGACGTTCGGTGCTCTTTCGTTTTCTCGCTCGCTTGAAATCGTTAGAATACAAGTTCCAAAACGTCTCATGAAAATAATATATTATATATTGACACTAGAATTACCAGATTTGCAATCATTCGGAGGAATTTTACAGACTTATAATTGTAGATTTTTCAAGGATTCGAATGATCTATGAAAGTTTTATGTTCTCTACTGTAGTGTAATCTTTGTCCAGTTTCTCCTATGGTACTAAATTTTTACACTTCAATCACCGATAGTGTTCTAGTGTTGATCAAATTTCGATTTCTCCCAGACTCGGTACAATTTACATGTTATAAATGAATTTTGCAACTATTTATAATTAAAATTTTTGATCAAACACGTGTTGATAATTTCGTGAGCCATTTGTATTTCCAGAATCATTTAAATTTCATTCAATCATCTACCAATTCCAAGCGAGCGACTGGAAGAGCTTGGTGCTGAAACTGAGCAAGTCCTGACTTTGAAATTGAAACAAAAATTGAATTGTATATATCGAACAATCACTGTACTTGATTCTCAATCGCCTCTTCCGTCGGTTTATTAAAACACGCATCGAACTCGTTTGATTCTTACACCGAAAACTTCAAACAAACATCAACAATTTTATTAAAAGAAGAAAAAGAAACATACTTGCTCGTTCCTTTGCGTCAGGCTCTTTAATCTAATTCTCAAATAGTATCATTGAGCCACTGGCGCGACCGTAATAACTCACAGTTGAATCACTCGATTCGATTTATTTTCAAATTAATTTCGTCGTCGATCGACAATTATTCGATTTCAAGTTTAATCTCACCAGTATCACTTTTGTTAATATGAACTTGACTGTAGTGACAAAGTGAAATCAAAAAAAAAAAGTGCACCGGTGACCCAGCGATACTACTCGAGGATCATAGCCTCAGAGAATGTCGATCACCGTTAAATGATCTATCTCTTCCAAAATTACAATCGTCTCGAAAAAAATTGCCTGCTGTGAGCCGACCACAACCAGACGTGGCCGTGGATCGCGTGCAACGCGCGTCTAACCAAATCTCTTCTCTACTTGCAGCCTGCTTAAGGAAGCTGAACCGCTAAGTATGGATAGTAATCGAGACATCTCGGAAATAAGTACTAATAAGGGAAGCGCAGGATTCCCAGGGAGCGGCGGCGGAAGCAGCGGGGCCGGTTCCGGTAGCGGAAGCGGCGGCCAGTTCGATTCGGCGACGTTGGAGGAGAGACAGCTACTAGGGAGATACGGTGTCTGGCTGCTAGTGGGTCTTTGCACCCCGAACCAAGACACCTCGATCGAAATACTCGGCCGTTTATTGTCAATGCTATTTCATTGGTTTCATGTTACTGCCTACTCTTTCGATGGTACTAAAAAAAGCCTTATGCACCTTATCTTTTCTGTTGGTAATTTAACACTTCGCATATTTATACACTTAATGAACGTAGAACGTAGATGAGCGGTGGATGGGCGGCGGAGGGTCGTTGGACGAAGTCGCGATGTCGCTTCGAAATTCTCGAAATGGAGAAGTTGCGTCGAAGGGTTACGAGTTTCACTCTGTCTTTGAAAATTTTTCGAGATGTATATATATATATGTGTATTTTTTTTTTTTTTTTTATAATAATTTGTTTGATCTGTCTTGCGGCTACAGCGAATGCGCGTTCTCAGGCAAGTACAAAGCCTTGCTCAAAAGTCGTATGACGAGTATTACAATGTTCAAATTGAAAGAATTTTATGAATCAATCAAGTTATACTGAAAATATTAACTTTACCAAAGATAATTAATTCAGTATATTTGTGCTAAAAGTAAATTAAATTGAAAATATGTCACATTGTAAATTGCAGCTTCAAAATTTTATCAACTATGGTAAATACCAATTATTGAAAATAAAAGATGTTCTTTGATATTTTCTTCAAAATTAAAAAAAATCAAGTAATATCACATCAAGGAAGTATTCATACTGAAAAGTATTTATATAATGTATCATAGATATCATTTCAAAATTTTAATATATTTTGTTATTACATTATTACACTTCGAAATTGTCTTAACTTTTGAGCGGAAGTGTTCAACAGAACAGCAAAAAAAAAAAAAAAATACGTAAATTACAAATATACATGCACTTCGGTCTTCACAATATTTTAATACTAAGAACGTGCATTTCGCTGTAACCATAGTTTCAGTTCGAAGCGACACGAGACTCGAGCATCTCGAGCCCATCACTATAGACCGTAGGTAGTCCTTGGCCGCGATCGTAGGCACATTCGATCGAAAACGCTCAACTTTCCCATTGGTTTTCGTTCTTTTTCTTTCGCTTTGTCTCTTCGGATGCTTTCAATGCTCACATGTGACTGACTAGCCCGTGTTTTCACACTCGACACGGTATTCAACAAGTTAGACAAAGTGGTAATCAGAAAAGAACGAAACGAATTATATTCTCGTGATTAGGTAAAGAAAAAGAAGACATTCATACGTTCACACGTTTGTCAGTGTCTCGACAAAAGCTTGATCGTGAACACTAACACCGTTCGACATGTTCTAATTTGAATAGCTTTCAATGTTGTCTCCCTGTTTTTCTCTTTCTCTGTCTCTGTCTAAATTCTCCTTACTTTTGGTGTCTATAAATTGTACCAGTAAATCAATGTATTCGATGTATGTTCCTGTGTCCAACTCGTTGTCGTAGAGGCGTCAACTTCGCAGCTGTTTTATCTTTGTTTGTTGTTTTTTATTGTCACGTTTTATATTGTTTCGGAATCTGTTCTCTCTTACTGTGTGTCATTGTCTAATAGAACTCGTAATTTCTTTTAGACATAAAATTTGTATTTGTTGTCCATTTCTTCTCTCTCTCTCTCTCTCTCTCTCTCTCTCTCTCTTTCTTTCTTTGCCATGGAATTAGAATCGTTTAAAATTTGTCTTGTATAAATTCATTGAAAGTATTATATAAATACCCAAGAGAGACCATATGGATCATTCTTGAATGTGATCCAAGGAAAAATAACTTAAATACGCAAGATTCGCATATAGCTTACAACGGAGGTTAATTTATTACTGTGACAAGATTTTTAACTAATTTTCAGTAAACGACAAAAAGCAATTAAGATTAAATTTGTATATTATGTTCTTTGTGTCAAATAATACAAAACTTAAAACTATTAAGCATATTAATGTTATTGCATTGAAATGTTACCAAAGCGGTCTGAAATGAGAACTTTTGAAGGAAGTTTGTTAAAAATAATGGAAATTTGCTTTGAAAACAACTTCGTGAAATTACGTAATTGCATAAAAACAAGTTAATCCTTAAATAATAAATAAAAGTTTTCATCGTCGAGAAAATGTATCAAAATAAACTTCGTTTGTTCCTCGCATCGCACGGAATGGGCAAGAATATAAAAGTAATATTGACACAAGTGCAATTCGAAATTCTCGCGTCAGAACGACAACCTGCTAGGTTGACGCCTATGCGTTAAATTGCCTTTACGTGTGCATGCCACACACATACACAAGGAGCCTTCTCTCGAAAAATCTCCGGAACAGAAAAAAAAAGTAAGAGTGCGTCTGCGTCGCGGCTGATCGAGCCTCTGAATGATCGATGCATAGGATCTATGGAAATTCCGACGCTGTCGCAAATTGTGCTCCGCGACGCTGAAAGAATATCGCACCAAGTTCCTATGCATCGAAGTAGCGAAATCCCACATCGAGAATTGCCGCGAAAAGAAAACGAAAAAGGAAACAAAAAAAAAAAAAAAAATGTGAGCTCGCGAGTAGTTTTCTAGATAAAAATACAACTCGATTGTTAAGAAAAAAAAGAAAAAAAAATTACTTTGAATTTCTTCGAGTTGTCGATATGTAGAGATACTTCTCTCGCATGCTGTTGAAGTAACACCGCTAATATGTACATACAGTAATTCAATGGGCTTTGTACTTTCCCTGTATCTTTGCTGTGCAATCCGAAATTCCGCTTCTGTGTCGTTTCCGTTCGAAAAATAAAAAAAAAAAAAAAAAGCACACGAACTAAACCAGATACTATCGGTTTCTACGGTAAATCCGACCTGAGTGATATCCTCGAAACGTACTTTACCAAAAAGGTTCACGTATGTGACTGTGAATATTTGATCGAATGTGGTTTTTCACTGTAGGACAAGCGGAGAGCGCGTTGGAGAAGTTGAAAACCGAATACGTTTGCGGATGGTTGTCGGAGGTGATGAAAACGCACTACGAGGTTTTCATTTCCTGTCTTCTCCCACATCCGGCGGATTACGTACGAGTCGGAGGACACTGGTGCGAACAACGACAAACAGACGGCGGATATTTATGAGAAATTTACGCCTTTGTGGACTAATATGAACGAAAATAATCGATCTGTCAAATAGGAAGAATTCTAGCAAGAATTCTATTTCATAGATCTTTCTCGTGTTAAATGATCGTACAATTTATTTTAGTTTCCCACAGTTCCATAAAAATCCGCAGTCTAGTGATAAAAAGAATTCTTCGTAGGAATTAATTATTCCTTGTGAACTGATTATTGTTTGACTATGAATCAATAATCTGGGATTAATCAATTCAGATTAATTTAATAATTAATTGATTTAGAATTGAATTGCTTGATTTCCGAATTTCTTATTTCATTGAATCTTGCCACTGTGCTAATCTCTGTTACAGAGAATATATTATGTTATCATAAAAATAATAATATATATATTATTATTTTTATGATAACATAATATATTCTCTCTTAATATATATAATAATATAATAATAACATAATATATTCTATATATTCTATATATATAATAATAACACAATATATAATATATTCTATATTAATACATAATATATTCTATATATTCTATATATATAATAATAACATAATATATTCTCTCTTAATATATATAATAATATATATATATTGAGAGAGAATATATTATGTTATCATAAAAGTAATAATATATTATATATTATTATACAAATACAAATGACCCCCTGTAACCCAACAATGTTAATTCAACGATAGAGATTAATTTACAGAAGCGTATAAACAAAGCTGTCGTTTATAAACGAACGATTCTAATTAAGGGAGACACTGGCTTCGAGAACGTCACACCTGAAAGATGGCCTAAATCGCCTGTTCTGCTTGGTTCCCTACGAAGTGATCACCCCAGACGTCTGGGACTACGTGATGCCACATTGGATGGAGGCTATGGTGAACGACGTACCAGAGTACGAGCTTCACGAGCTAAAAATGATCCTATGGTAACGTAACGTCTAAAAAAAAAAAGAAAATTCTTCGATTTTTGAAAATATTGATAATCGTTCGATCGTGGTCTTTCAGCAAAATTTTGGATCGAGACATGAGCCCCCTGGGCTTCGACGCTAAGAAGATGTACAACTTTGTGGCGAAACGGTTCGTCAATACATGTGCAAAGGTTCAAGAACAGGCTCTGAATTGGCTGCAAACACTCACTATGTTGGAGATTAGTATCCCTCTCTGTCAACTGTTCTCCATGTTCAGCGACGGTGTGGCTGTTATGGGATCCATGAATATTGCCGAGTCTGAACAGAAACCCAGCAAAGGAACGAAGAAAGAGGACGAGGAAGGGAACGCTATTTGTAAGTTTACTTGTTGAAATGTAGACTGTAGTAAAGCTCCGTTTAAGATTTAAAATAACGATTGAGAAAGAAATGTTCGAGGCAGAGTGGAAGTGAAGAGGTTTATCATTAGTATATTCATAATTAAAATATTAAAATGTTAAAAGTATGGAGATTTATTGAAGTAATATTAAAATAATGGAGGTTCGATAAATTTAATATTAAAATAAAGGAGCTTTCATAAATTAATATTATATTACATACACTACAAAAATGATATGTAATACAATATTAATTTATGAAAGAAATGAACCAAAAGTGAAGAGGTTTATCATTAATATATTCATAATTAAAATATTAAAGTATTAAAGTATGGAGATTTATTAAAGTAATATTAAAATAATGGAGGTTCGATAAATTTAATATTAAAATAAAGGAGCTTTCATAAATTAATCATATTATATACACTACAAAAAAGATATGTAACAATTTATGAAAGAAATGAACCAAAAGTGAAGAGGTTTATCATTAATATATTCATAATTAAAATATTAAAATATTATATAATTAAAATATTAGAATATTAAAGTATGGAGATTTATTAAAGTAATATTAAAATAATGGAGGTTCGATAAATTTAATATTAAAATAAAAGAGCTTTCATAAATTAATCATATTACATACACTACAAAAAAGATATGTAACAATTTATGAAAGAAATGAACCAAAAGTGAAGAGGTTTATCATTAATATATTCATAATTAAAATATTATAATATTAGAGTGTTGAAGATTTATTAAAGTAATATTAAAATAAAGCTTTCATAAATTAATATTATTGCATACACTACAAAAAGGGTATGTAATACAATATTAATTTATGAAAGAAATGAACCAAAAGTGAAGAGGTTTATCAATAGATATATATACACAGGTTCTGTGGTCGAAAACGAATCGGGAAAGTCAACGCCATTGTCCGACGACGTCGTACCAACACCGAGGCACATGGAATTCACTACCAACGCGGAGTTGAACTTATCCTGCTGCATTCTTATGCTCGACATATTACTAAAACAGGTATCTATGCAACTGGAACGTATTCTAAAGAGGCGTCTGACGAACGAGGAGTAACCTAATGAAATTGCGCGAAATATTGGAAGATGGAGTTGCAGAACATAGACAAGCACACAGGGATCAACACGTGGGTCTGCAGGGACGCGTGTCGTTTGATGAAGTCGATCGTCGCCTCGAATTGGAACAACTGTCACGTGTGCAACACGGACACCGAGTGCACCTACTGCGAGTCCAGCGTGATCTGGCACCAATTATGTTTGCAGTTGGTCACCTACATGGCACCGGAAAATCCAGCTTATCCGCCTGACGTGAGTCCCTTGTGCCAACATTACAAAACACCATTTATTGGAACGATATGCTGTTTTGAAATTGAAATTCTATCGCGCAAACTTCTCGAACTTATGTCGACTGTGTTTCTCGACAAGTTTGCGTAAACGGAGAGTTCTATTGTCAGAAATTTTCCATCCAAGCTTTGTGAATTTCTCTGATTTCTGTTCAGAAAATCGTGGACGAAACGGCGGAAGACCACGGTCGTAAAAGTCCCGAGACATCGCGAAAAGGGGACTCCAAGTCCGACGTGGTGATCAGTATGCCGGTGGCGGAAATGCACTCGGTCGGCGGCGTTCTCGCGCACATGCCTCAGGTACACCCTAACGATAAAGATTGTTCTTTATTTCGCTGACAAATTTGATATGTTCTCTTGTTACACGATCTTGTTACACTGCCTAAGAGACACAGCGTCTTTCTTTCTATCTCTCTGTGCAACAACACTTTCTGCAACAACAATATACGCAGCATGCTGTTCGTCTAAAAAAAAACAAAAAAAAACAAAAAAAAAAAAAAACAAGAGTATATCTCTATTTTATTGTAACGATATATATATATATATATACATACACACACACACACGTGTGTGTGTGTGTGTGTGTGTGTGTGTATGCGTGTATGTGTGTATGTATATGTACCTATATTGCATATACATACATGTGTATATACACACATAGACACACGTTCGAATAAGTATTTTTTCGGCTGCCGTATATACGTATTTATTCTTCGATCGATCGAACCACACGCTCACTCACAGGGAGATTAAAAAAATGAAAAGAGGGATAGGACAGGGAGAAAAGTGTACGCGTATCATGACGCACGAATACATTGGCGCAGGTACAGACGGAAGTTCAAACGAGGCTTTTATCGATCGACGGTTACAGAGAGTAACCGCTGACTGAATTCTTTCTTTCTGGTTATCGAGCGATAACAGCCTCCGTTTTTTTTTTTCGATTTCTCGCTCTTTCACGAAAGGTAAGGAGTCGAATTGAATCAGCCCGGAGGAGGTTTACTTTGTGGAAGAGGATTTCTGGTATGGTTATGTACGGGGTGTTCTTTTTTTTCTTTTTTTTTTTTTATTTTTGGTTTTGTTTTCAAGCAAGCTGTCTCTGCGCTGAAAAGCACAGGCAACGAATTTTGGGGATGGTACGATACTGAGGAGAATTTTGAGGGTGTCATTAGGATTGGAGCTTACGCGGGATGAGCGAAGGTTGGAAAATATCGGTGTCAAGTCTGGAAAGTCTTGAACTGTGACTCGAATTTAACCTAATTAAATTAACCCTTTCATACGTACTAGGTAACTTAAGATACTTGTAATAATTAGTTTAATTACTAGTGGTTCAAAGAGGACAACACGTTAGGATATACGGAATATAAATATAGTGAAAAGTATATATTTATAGATGAATGGATTCTTGGTTCGTTATATACGCTCCTCATTCGGTATTAAATTCTTAGACTTTTGATAATTTCGACGAGCACGCGAAAGGTTAATCGAGATCTAACCTAGAATTCTAATTCAAATTCAAACCCCTATTTTGTAAATAATATTCTCCTGCGAAGAGCCTATAATTCTAAGGATATAAAAATGGCTTAAAAAAAAAAAAAAGAAAAAAAAATGAAAATTTCCTATATTTAAAACATAGTGGTATTTTTTTAACTCTACCAAGTACTCAGAAGAACGTAGAGACTAGTGAAGAATTGTTGCTGCTACGCAAGTAATTTATAAGTTACGTTAAAACGGCGATTATTATTTACTTGAAGAGCGAAGATTTCAATATTCAAAGATCGTTTGTTTTCTTTTTTCTTTTCCTTTTTTTTTTTTTTTTTTTTTTTTTTTTGCGGTGGATTGTTCGTCCGCCACTACTCCGCANTTTTTTCTTTTTTTTTTTTTTTTTTTTTTTTTTTTTTTATCGAACTCTTTAACATTAATGCGACATTTCTTTCTAAGCTAAGTTTCTCCGAGTGTCATGAGTAATTAATGCAAAATCTCTGACGCAGTCTACACGTTTTCATGCTCAGTATTAATGTACGCTTGCAGTGTTGCGTTAATTAAGAATGACAACATGGAACAATTACCATTTAATTAACACAATATATATATATATATATATATATTACGATAATATTTAAAGAAACAGAACGAATTATTATTCCTTATTTTTTGAATATTTTACGTTATTAAAATTCTCTTCTCCCCCCCCCCCCCCCCCCTGTTTATCATGATGAAATGTAATTTTATGATATCATCGATAACGTTTAGAACATTCACAGACATTCACAGAGTGACAAAAATGAAACACCTTGTACATGCCTGTACCATGCATTGAAATCGTTCATTTTACCTGTATCAGCTATTACACAGAGAGATAGAGAGGAGTATATATTCTATATATGCATATATTGCATAAATAATATGCAGAAAAGCATATTTTATATTATTACAGTAGTTTCTACGTTTCTACATACACATATACGGTCAATATTTAATTTATTTGTATTTTCTATTTAATTCGCGAACGAAACAACGCTCGCGTTCCTTTATTACTAATTCTAATCGCCTACTAGTGTTACGCATACATACATACATACATACATACATACATACATAGAAGTTCCTTTAATTTAGCAATAGTTTAACGTATGCTCCGTCATACGTAAAAATATTTACATTAATTTATCTCCACTGTTATCGATATTAACGATGATAATTTAACGAATGTACGTAAAAGGAATCTCCACGTACAGTGGCAAGTCTGACCTGCGCGAATATCACGTGTCCCTCTTGTTCTTTCTCATTTTCTCTTTTAATCCTTATCATAGAAGAAGGTACATCTTTTTTTTTCTTTGTAAATTAGAAAGTTAGCAGACTTAGAGGGGGAGTGTATATTATTATAAATATATTATTATTATTATTATTATTATTATTATTATTATTATTATTATTATTATTATTATTATTATTATTACTACTACTACTACTATTATTATTATCATTATTCAGTACTAAATGAAAGGTAAATTATCGTCTATAGTAACTACAAGTTACTATAAACGTTACGATACGTTGCAGCGCGATAATTACTGAATTAATACTAGAACTAAATGTCTCGTGGAAATTTCCACATCTTTGAAGAGATTTCGATCATTTATCATGTTTTCATTTTTTTTAAAACTTGTATTATCTGACGCGAGTATTACACCTTAATCGTCGATTCTAGTTCTAATGTTACAAAATTCGTGTGGGTCGAGAAATTTCACCCGTCACCGACTTTTGAGGGTTCAAATAAGTAAACGTCGTAACTGAGACGAGGTGGTTCAATATGCGAGAAATGCTTAACAGGAAGAAAGTTAAATTTACTATAAACGATAGGATTAGTAAACTCAAAGAGGTATTACGGTAGGATAAAACGTTGCTAAATGAAATAATAATAATGATAGGATTAAAAAAAAAAAATGTCGCGTTACTTCTTTGCTGGGATATTCGTATTTCCGCGGTCTAATATTTTTAGCGAGAAAGATGTACGAGATTCTAAACGCATAGGAAATCTCTTCATTTTAAGGTTGACCCGTGCACTCGTGTGAAATAGTCTCTTGAAAGAATAGGAAGCAAGTTGCTATACATCGCGAGGATGTTTTATTACGCTGATTGCCAATCAATGAGTTTGCCCCGATGTTCAAAACTACGTTTCTCTAACAATTTCGTCTTTATCTTATCGTCCTATGTGTGTTTACGGTATCGATACGCTGTTATTTACTGAAACTTGCACCAATTTACTTGAAAACTAACCCTAATTTCGTTAATTAAATTGAATTAATTTTTTTTTTCTTTCTTGGCGCGACAATGTACGTTTTTTCTATGTTGATGATTAATAATGTGTCCCTTTATCTCGTCGTTTGAAAATATTTCTCGTGTCTTGAGCAGAATGTAACATGAAATTTTTCTCCAAATTTGACACATTTTTTTCATGCAACTGGATCAGAAATAAATTATGTTTCCATTTTATAATTGTACTCGTGAGATTCGTTTGTCGTATTATTTATAAATAAATTTATTTATGAATTAACAATAAATAAATTTATTATATATCATAGCATAAAGTCTTGTAGTATTATATCGTATAAAAAAAATATAAATATCTTGGCGCTAAACTTTTATGTTTGTTTAATGTAATATTTAGAGGGTGCAAGTAACGCAATATTCAGTAAATAACGCGCGGGAGAATCTTCGAAACGAAATCCCGAGATGTTCATTTATCGCACACGTTCTAGGTATATATTATCGTGTAACGAATAGTGATAATGATGTTAACGTAACGACTTGTACCCGGATAGAACGACATTGAAAGAAATGTTGATCCGATATTCTTTGAAATTTCGATAATTATACGAACGATAGACCAAGGAAATGAGAATAAATCGTTAAACACATTGTATTGTATATATCGAGTATTTCGAAATATTTGCTTAAATGAAGAATAAACCGTGGATAAACTTCGAGTTCGAGAACACGAACTCGAAGAGGCAATTTTGAAATTTTGGTTACGTTCATTCTTTAAAAAAAAAAAAAAAATCGTTCAAAATTGTTTCGCGAAGAAAACAGTGTATTTTGCATCGTATGAATTTTCACGCACTCTGTTTAAAAACTACTAAAGCAGCAAAGTTGTTTATTCGTTTTACTTACTTAAGTTATTTATTTTAATAAGATTCTAACATATGATTGCGTGATATATAATTCTAATAGCTTAAACTGCGTATTAGGAAAAAAGAAAAGACTATACACCGTGAAAATTTCAGAAACAGTATTTCATTTCTCGTTGTTAATTGCTCAATTCATTTCTCATTTGATTCACAATTCACCCTATGTATCTCTAGACGCTACGTTCAAAATGTTAATTGTTAACGTTAATGATCTACTTAATTTTTGAGAAAGTCCCTACTTTCTCTCTCTCTCTCTCTCTCTCTCTCTCTTTTCTCTTTCTTCCTCTCTCTCTCTCTTTCTGTCTCTCTCTCTCTCTCTCTTTCACTGTGTTCAATAATATCGACAATGCGTATAACGATAATATTAAAAAAAAAAATTAAAAAAAAATAAAAAACCCCCCCCCAAAAAAAAAAAAAAACGACGAGCAGAAAACTAAGGAAGTAATGAAAAGATGAATTTAAAATTTTCCCCCTGCTAAAACGTGTATGATATAATGAGAAAAGAGAGACTGCGAACTGCGATATAGTAATATTCCCGAAAATCAAAATACTCTAATGGGCATTAATCGTGTGTATCTATCGTGAGCTTCGTGTTCGAATAATATACGACTATTTTTTACTCGTTGCAATAAATAGGGACTAAAGGAAAAAGAAAAAAAAATCGTGTAAATAAAAGAGAATAAATTTTTCGATAATAACTAGACGGGGAGAGGGAGGAGAAAAAGAGAGAAGGGAGGGGGAGAGAGAATTCCCGTTTATGGGAAGTTAAAAAAGATAAATAAAAGAAAGATTATACGACCTTAGGCTAT